TTCCTCCCCAGGTGCATCACCTTGCACTTGTCTGTGTTGAAACCCATCCTATTCTCATTCGCCCACCCTTGTAACCTGTCTAGGTCAGATTGTAGCCTGTTGCTTCCTTTTAGTGTGTCCACGTCCCACCACATCTTAGTGTCATCAGCAAATTTGAACAGGGTGCTTTTTACCCCATCGTCCAAATCACTGATGAAGATGTTGAACAGTGCGGGCCTGAGGACCGAGCCCTGCGGAACCCCACTGCCCATGTCCTTCCAGGTTGAGAAGGACCCATCCACTACCACCCTCTGGGTGCGGCCCTCCAACCAGTTGGCGACCTGTTTGAAATACTAGAATAAAAATATGGTCCTACCACATAAGCAGAAAGTTAGAGACTAATCATTTAAGACATTTTCTTAAATACGTACAATATTTAATGATTGTTTTCCTTAGTATTTTTTTTACTTATTTTTAAGTTAGTAGCCCAGAAAAAAAAAGTTACGACTCCTTTGGTTCAGTGACACTGATCTCAGCAGCTTGAGGTTTTAAAATGTTTTAATCAATAGCATTTTAAGTTTTTAATTAAATATTTTTAAATAATTAATTTTATTCTAATACAGTTAAAAAGATGACACATATAAACAAGGACAAATTATAGTTCTAGTAATCATCAGTACTTTAAAAATGTGTTATCTATACTATTTTCCCTATATTACATCTTTTACAAAATGATTTACAATAGCTGTGTTTCTGTGCTTCATGCTGATTAAACAGACCTAAGGATTTCTCTCAAATAGCACTACCAATGTTTGGTCACATTACCTTGTCTTGGCTTCTAGCTTTGTTTTGTTTTTTCTAATATGTGTAGTTGGCATATTTCGGTTTTCCTGGTGAGCCTGGATGAATCCCATAGGTTTTGATGGAGTGGCAGTTGTACTCAATTGAGAAAGTGTTAAGGAAGTGGGCTAGGAGATCTTTTACCTCTTCAGTGACTATTTCAAATCAAACAAGGTCCTTCGACTTATTCCCACTTCCCAACTTTGGAGGCACTGCTGCTGCTGCCTGTATTGACCCCTCCCGTGTTTAGAGAGATGAATTTAATCCCTACGGCACATTGTAATTTACATGGCACTTCTCTCAATAATTTAGATTCATAGAATAAACATGTTACTGGCAGTTGTATTTAAGCACTTATTTCAGTTGGTAAATCCCAAACTGTCTTAATTTTAAAATAAGTCACTTAAGGAGAGAGAGACTTAAAGAGCTTTTTTTAATGTGGACTCTGAATTTACCATGAGGCCAGGGCCCAGGGCAGAGCCACGATCCACCGCCTGTATGTCCCTTATGCACCAGTTCTGTGGGCAGGGGAGTAGATTGCAGCTCTGCCCCGGGCCCTGCCCAACAATTCTGATTGAGGCCCCAGCCCTGCAAGTGGGGAATGGCATCCCACTCCTGGATGCCATTCCCCACCTGCTCACAGCCCCATCCCACAGTTAAGTGCACCCTGCCCATGTGGGTCCTGGGCTGGACTCCATGGAGACCCCAGGATCACTGGGTGGTGACAGAATGGGGCTGGGGCCCAGGGCAGAGTCATGATCTGCTCCTGGCGTGCCCATGCCCATGGAACTGGTGCCTGTCACAGGGACACGCAGGAAGCAAATTGCAGCTTGGCCTCGGCCCTGTGCTGTCATGGCCCTGTGATCCTGATCCTGGCCCCAGCCATACCTGCCCATCCTGCTTCTGAATGCTGTTCCCCATGGCCCCATCCCATTTGCCTGGCCAAGTACAGGACAGCCACTTAGGGAGTTTGGTGAGCTATTGGGTGGGGGGGGTGGGGAAGAGTGCTGACCTGGTTTGCAACAGCTTATTAAACTCCCTAAGTGGCACCCCCAGCCCAAGTAATTGCCCACCCCTGACCAAGATGCTTAAGAACAATTCTATTCTACCCTGTTCAGATTTTGAAACTCTGTTATTGCATCTACTTTTTTAATACCCAATCATCTCACCTTTAAGACTGGTCACAGAAAGGCAGGCCAGAGGAAGAAGACCCATTCATCTTTTTCATTAACAACTTCAGGGACTCAAGCTGGGTGGACTAGAATGCATGTCAGTGCCTAAGGCCACTTACTTCCTTAATAGATGGAATAGAATTTGGCCCTTAATTTTCTCTATCCAGAAACCTTCTGTATTTAACAAAAAAGTTAGGACAGCAAAATGTTAATGTTAGGATCCAGTAAGTGTCCAGGCACAGATTACCTTTATTATCAACTCTCCCCCTCTCCCCTCCCCATTTTTTTCTTAAAAAAAAAATCAGCAACACATGCTAATGGATTATTCAAACTCTCCACCTGGTTTGTAGATTTATACATTCTTTATCTATACAAATGTTTCCGTTGTATCTGTGAAGCAAGTTAGAGTCAATCTAGTAGTTTGTTGGGCAGTTTTAGCCTTAAATCTTCCATTTTTTTCTTTTTTAAATTAGTATTGTGTGTATTTCTATTAAAAGTGAGCAGCAAGTATTAAATCCTCTAAAATGAATGACTTAATATAAAGCTATGAATTTGAGGTCTAACCAGGGGAACAAAGGGCAGTTAACAGTTTCTTGTTATGTGAGCTAAATTTAAATTGTTTGGTTGAAGTTAAAAAATGGCACTCACCTTATCTAGGTAGAGTTACCATAAAAGGACATGTTTGAGCATAATGTAAGTCTGAAGCCAAGATGGGATCTGATGGGAACACAATAGTAATCCACATTTGTCAAGGTACCACTTTGGACAGAATGTTCTTTAGCAGGATGAAATATTGGCAAGTGAAAAAGATTAAACTTATTACTTTAATTATTTGTCCAAAAGGGTAAAAAAAACCCTTAATTTGGGACATGGATAAGAAGAAGAGTTTGACAGGTGAATGAGGAGAGGGATTTGAAAATAGATGCACAAGTAACCAGAACAAATGATTGTTATAGATTTTTAAGATACATTACTCTTTCCCCTATAGGTCCCTGAAGGAAAGGTGGTAGTTCTTTCTTTTAGGTACATCGACTTGGAAAGTGACAATCTGTGCAGATATGACTTTGTAGATGTGTATAACGGCCATGCCAATGGACAGCGTCTTGGCAGGTTCTGTGGTACTTTCAAACCAGGTGCTCTTGTTGCCAGTGGCAATAAGATGTTGGTGCAAATGATTTCAGATGCCAATACAGCTGGAAATGGATTCATTGCCATGTTTTCTGCAGCAGAACCACATGAAAGAGGTAATTTATAGCTATATACATTTTAAAGACCACACAGAGCTACATTAATGTTTAAAACTGTGAGGGCAGAAGTACTGTATTTGTTTATCAGAATTAGATTTGCCCATGTTTTGGAGGATAAATAGCATATCCTTGGCACAGAAATAAAGGTCTCACTTATTATAGACAAGGATTACATACGTAAGTGATTAAATTTAATTATTTTGGGTGTAGGAATAGTATGCCCTGGACTAGTCTGAGTGAAAATAGGGGGGAAATGTTTCTAAGAAAAAAGGGTTCTAAGAAGTATCAGTTTAGATATAATCCTGGTGCATTCCCCCCACCCCAAAAACAAACAAACAAACCAAACAAAACAAAACAACAACCCAACACCACCAAAACAAACAAAAAAACGAAACAAAAAACCCCTATTTCTCCTGGGGTAGAAGGGTGTAGGTGTATAGGGTTTTATAATACACCAGCAGCTCCCATATAAGTCCTTATTCCTCTTTTAACCTGTTCTAATTTGATTTTTTTTTAACCCATTGAAGGCTAAATGGTTGCAATTTTGTTTCCATTTATCATGCACACAGACAGTTAGCAGGAAGCAGAAATCCTTTTGCTTTGTGTTGTTTGTAGAGCTGTATACCTAGAGTGACAAAAACAAAGAAACACCCATTTTTTTAAGATAGGCTCCTGTGCACCCCCTGCAAAAGGGGTGGCACCCGTGGCTGGTTGCCACTCACCACCCCACTGCTGACACTGCCAGTAGCATCTGCAGGTGGGCAGCAATCCCCACTGGCCACTGCTGCTGGCAGTGCCTGAGGGTGGCTGCCGACCCGATTGATGCTCGCCGCTCCCCACCCCCGCTGCCGACAGTGCCAGCAGCATCTGCGGGAGCTCTGTGCTCACCTCCGCCGTGCTCCTGGCGCCGCGCTCCTGCTGCCACCAGCATAGCCGTGCCCCCCCCAGCTGCTGGGGGCACATGCCATTCATGAAGAGTTCCTTAGCTCTTCTTCCCTCTTTGTTTACCAAGAAAATATATTTCCAGACTACACATGAAAACTAGACTGAGGGAGAAAACAAGAAATCAAACCTATTCATCTAATACTAACATGAAGTTTGCAGAAAAATGACAGTGTAGGATATGTAGTCTCTCAAAAGTAGACAGACAAGACAGGCTTAGGGATTAATGGTTTCCAAATCAGTCATTTGCAATGACTTGCTCCATTGACAGAAAACCCTAAATACAGTGGAACTACCAGGATTATGCTGAATAAGATAGGAAGACTACAGAGGTGGTCTTTCACTTTATGATGTGTTACTCTGATGAAGCATGAAGTAGCCTTTTGCTATCCAAACTCCCTTGTCTAGGAGAGAAAGCATCAGGGTATGCATCATGACCACAACTCCAGAGGCTTCTGAAAGAGCTGTCACTGGGCACATCTACATGTGTCTCTTAAGTAGGCTTAACCCAAAATCACCATTTTTTAAGACACATTAAGGGTGCGTGTCTACACGTGCACACCCTTAATGCACCTTAAAAATGGTGATTTAAGGTTATGTGAGCCTAAATTTGATACCTGCATAAAGCAGGTATCAAATATAGGTTTGAATAGCTAAGTGGCATTAGCATGTGTAGATGCACTAATGTGTATTAACACAATGTGCACCAATGGATAGACACCGTGGTAATGCACATTAACGCGTCTGCATGTGCGATAATGCCACTTAGCTATTTGTGCCTAAATTTAACGCACCTTAATGTGCATTAGCACATCCACATGTAAACCCATGCCTAAATCACCTTAATATGCCTTAAACAAAGGTGCATTAAGTTTAGGTGTGTGTATATACACATGTAGACACCCACCGAGTGCTCTTCTGATGCTCGCTGCCTCAGGAGAACCTTTTGCTTGACACACACAGAGGGATAACCAAGAACTGTGAGTATTCTCTAGGTCCTAGCAGAGAACCCCTCCGCATAAAAGTTTGGTTACTAAGGATGTACATAAGAGCTGGGGACTTGGCCCTAGGGAAACAGTTGTATAAAATGTGTTACATACCTTTCCTGTACTGTTGGTCTGTTTTATATTATTAGGGGACCAGTACTGTGGGGGACGACTAGACAAGCCTTCTGGGTCTTTTCAAACTCCGAACTGGCCTGATCGAGATTATCCAGCAGGAGTGACTTGCTCTTGGCATATTGTAGCCCCAAAGAATCAGGTGAGTTGCATTCAAAGATACCAAATTACCTGGAAATATTCACGTGTTTTCAGAGAGTGCATTTCCATTCATATGCACTTTTTCTTCATGTGTTGTACAGTTTTCCTGCATGTTTCACTGTTCTGTTCTTCTTCTGACATTATTTTCAGCTTTTTCCATTTCTTATTGTGTACTTCCTCTAACTCAGAATGTTATTTCCCCATATGATACTTTCTATAACTTTTGGGCATCCAGTCAGACTTTTAGAAGTGGTTTTGGAAGGGTATTTTTGTTAATGAACAGATACCTAATGGTATTTAGATTAAAGTTTTTAGTATAAGTGATCTGTTTAAGAAGAACACCATCTTGAAGTTTGACCAAATGTGTAGGGTCTGTGGTGTATTCTTTATCAAAACATCCATGCAGAATTTTTAAATGTCCATTAAAAAGCACAGACATAATTTTAATAATCACCTTGCTTGTCTGCATGTAATGTGCACTGGAATTTGTCATGCTTAGGAGTTTCCACCATAAATTTCAAACGGAGTATGATTTAATAGTCTGAAGTTTCCATCATATGCTTGGAAAAATCCATGAGCTGCCCTCATGGTATGCCTTGCCACTGTATTAGTGGCTTTATTAGGACCCAAGCTGCTTTTGACTGATTTGGGATTTGTCTCTGTCACCCCATGCTACTCATGAAACACATCATGTCTTGTTGTGTTGGGTGGGTCTCAGTTTAGCTTCATCTTTTTGTTGTTGCCCAGGTTTCTGCTCCAGAAACTGTATCATGGCAGGAAGTACACAATGATTGAATAACTTTATCTTCAAGCAGGTTTGGTACGTTGCTTTTCATAACTATGTTCAGCTTTCTAAATTCTTTTTATGTGGCACTCTGACTTTCTTCTTAAATCCCCTGCTCATGCCTGTAATCCTCCAGATGAAAAGGCTTTCCCAGATAAATGTATTCTTTAGATCTTTAATTCATTTCCATTTATCAAGGTGTTTTTCTGGATCTTAAGACAGTATAGCAGCTTAGTGTTTCCTGCATTTATCAATACACAAGTCATTTCACAATCCTGTGGCTAGGCAGTGATTATTAACAATGGGAATGGTAAATGGCAAATTACATTGGTTCTTCCTACATATCTTCATGCATGCCTGAAAACTTTTACCAAGCCTGTAGCGAAGATTTGGGACAGGATTGTGTTAGCCTGAAAAATGTAATAGTTATCTTTTGTACTTTTGAGATCTGCTGTTCATAAATGGTTTTAAGCCTCTGCTCAACATACTGCAATGAAGCTTCTGACAGAACAGCAAAAGTTTTGAGTTACTCAGGGGCTCTTGAGCAGACTATTGAGTCAAGTTTTTAGTTTTATTTTTGTTTAAACATTAAGGGGCAGAATCCTGTTTCACTATACATGCCCAAATGGCAGTTTTCCAGCCATGTAGCTGCCATTTTTAGTACTTAATCACAGTTTGTGATCCTGTTCTGCATGCAGAGTGGATGTGTAAGAGTGGAAACAGGCGTAGTCCTTTGTTGTCTTTTTGCCACCAGTAGCAAAAGTAAATAGATGCCCACAGACAACAAATGTGGTCCCAATAAAAGGTGCTAATAATTTGTGCCACTTTATTGCAACAGATGTCTGTTTGCCTTATGGTGGGAGAGCATAGGCAACCCAGAGCTGCCTGCATCCCAGGCAGGCACCCTTTAGGCTTGAGGGGCTGCGGTCCTGTGCACCCCAGGAATTGCCATGCAGGATCAGGTCTCTCAATCCTTGGAAGCACCTGCCCAGCTTTCCCCACTTCAGAGAGACACCTCCAGGAATTTCTGTGATGGGTCCCTGGATGTGAGGAACACCGACTTTCCCCACTTCCACAGATACACCCTGGAGATTGCTGGGGGAATGTTTCTGGTAGTGGAAACATGTTGCCTATTGTCCCACAAGATCAGTGGGTGATGTATGTTTCGCCTAGTGAAGTGGATCAGTTGTGCTGGGGCACATTTTTGCACAGATGTCACCAAATGAAGTGAATCAGCTATTTCTAGCATATCCATAGGAACAACAAAAATGTGTTTTTGTTTAGATGTGTTTTTATTAGGGGAAAAAAAAAGATTAAGTAGTAAGAAAACCTGGTTCTACCAAACTATGCGTGCTCAGTAGGTTGTGCTCTGGCTGAGCAGGCACATGACTTCATATGCATACACCTCAGCATAAGTTTTGGGAAAAACCAGGAGGAAGACCCTCCCACATTTTAGTCGCAATATTTGAGTGGTTAGGGCATTTATCCAGGAATCGGGAAACCCGGCCCTCTGAGTTTCCCAGCACAGTGCCATAACTGCTAGGCACCAAATTAGAGATTAGCCAGTTCCTTTTCCAGCCCTCCTCTTGAAGCATCACCACACATTTAATATTCATTGGGTTAAGCACAGTAGAGAAGTTTCTACCCCATTGGGAACTAGGGTCTGCTCCCTACCAGTGCAGCGTCCATCTCACTGAGCCACACACCTTTCAGCTTGTTTGTTTCCTACTGACCCCACATATTCACCATTTTGGCTTCCAGCTTCAAAAAGGAGAAAGTTAATGGTCCCTTAGGTGGAGACAAGCACCCATGAAAAGAAACAAAAGTATTCTACTGATAATGTGTGCATTCCTTCATAAAATGTTAGAGATTTGGCACACTGGTCTCATTTGGTACTGTTTGAAAAAAGATGGGTTTGTATGATCAACTTGAATATCCCATCCTCTAAAATTCAGGTACATAGAAAAAAATGGAGGACTGTTAAAATTAAATTTAAGAACCAAATACTGTCTTGTATTTATCACTATAATGTATAACTTTTTAAAAACTTCATAAGTGTTTTGCTTTTCTATCTCCATTTCAATTCCAAAGGCTTATAGTGACCAGATTCTAAAGTAAACAGTTTTCACTGGCAAATAATGCCTTATATTATTTTACATTGACCTTTTCCCTTCTTGTCAAGTCCTATTTTCTTACTGTTTAATCATTTTTTTAACAATAACATTTTTGTTGTTCCCATTCTCTATTTTCATTATCTTAGAAGCTCACAGCAGTTGCAGTTATTAATTGCTGGTCATTTTTAAATTCTGCTGAAAGCAGTGGAAAAAGACTGTTGACTTTGAGCTGAATTGGACCTCCTTACTTTTTCTTTTAAGCATATAAGCATGCAAGTAAATGACACTGAAAATTCTTGATCCTGTTATTTGAAATATAGTCCCAGCTTGAAGTTGTGTTTACTTTGGAGGCATGCATGACAAGTGCAAGACCGAAACACTGGATGTTAAGTTTTTATCCAATCTCTTACAGATTCTACATCAAGTAAGATCATTATTTGAAAACGCTTTCATAAACACATAACTAGTATATTTCATTTAATTGCATGTTTTTGTCTACAAAATAAATTTATACTATATTTTGAAGATCTCTTCTTATTCAGGCAAACAGTTAAGTGATTAAGGAATTTTCCTTTACTGAAGGCAAAATGAATGAAATAATCCTTAATTATGAAATGATGTTACTTAGCATATTGAACACTAATAAACCTATATAAAACTTTAATTAGATACTTATGCTTTTTCTGCAGGTGATAGAGTTAAAATTTGAGAAGTTTGATGTGGAGAGAGATAATTACTGCAGATATGACTTTGTGGCAGTATTTAATGGTGAGGAAATCAACGATGCTAAAAGAATTGGGAAATATTGTGGAGACAGTCCACCAGCGTGAGTAAATTATTGGATTATTGACAGGGAAACAACTGTATGTCCTTTTGTTAACTCCCTACTATACTTTTCTTTTGAGACTATTTTCTACATCAAATTGATATGATTGGCATAATTTATTGTCTTAGGTGCTCTGCAAATAGTCTGTTGGAAGTTAGTTTTTGAGATGCCTATATTATGGGAAAATAACTAGACCCCAAACTTACCACTGCCCAGCATTACTTCTGCACTCTACTTTTTGACACAGAAACCATGAAGCTGGGGCAGGCTAATTAGCACAACACTATGAGTTATAGTGCCAGTTAGGAGGGCTGTGCAAAACTTCAGTAGCTGATTCAGTTTGGAGGAGATTCGGCCCAATTCGGGGACTGAATCTCCGAATCTGAATCGAATTGGGAAACCAAGTAAAAGCTCTGAATCTATTCGAAGCAAAAACTTTGGAAAAGATTCAGCTGATTTGGCCATAGACTAACAGCTGCCTCCAGCTGGTAAGTCTGTTGGGGTTAGGGAAGGGGAGAGAGAAGGGGAATGGGGGAGTAAGGGATTGGGGTTGGGGCTGGGACTGAGACAAGCTGCCCAGCTCGGGTGGGGGGGCGTGCTCCTCTGAGAGGGGGCAAGGGGGTGTGGGATGTGGGTGTAGCAGCGCTGGGAGCGGGGGCTCTTCCCTGCTGCCACTTGCCCAGCTGGGGCAGGATGGGGGCACAGCTCGCTCCAAGTGGAAGGGGGCAAGTGGCAGCACGGCATAGCCCCTGCTCCCAGCGCTGCCGTACCCACATCCTGCATTTTCTGCGCCGGCTGGCAAGCAGCAACATGACCGATATGGGTGCGGTAGTGCTGGGAGCAGGGGCTATGCCCTGCTACTGCCGGGAGTGAGCCACACCTACATTGTGCCCCTCCACACCAGCTGGGCAAGCAGCAGCACGGGAGAGGACCTGCAGCTCCCCCCACTGGGGCAGAGGCAGGCACAGCCAGAGGAGCCACAGGAGAAGCCCACATGGCTGCCCTGCCTGGCCCCATCCCCCACCCAGCCAAGCCTCCCGGCACTTAAACAAACAAAAAAAAGCGCCGCACTCACTGGCTCTGGCAGCAGTGTTTGGGGCCTCTGAGGGCTCATGGCAGAGTCCCTCTGCACAACACAGGGTAGTGGGGGGCAGTGGGGATCACTCCCCCCCCCGGCACCCGCATGGCAGCTGTCGCATCGTGTAGGTGCAGCACAGCTCAGCAGGGTGCCGCGCACTGTCTGGGAGCTGGGGCAGCTCCAGCATTCAGCTGGAGCGTGGCAGTGCTCTGCCCCAGCAGCCCCAGCTCCCTGATAGTGCACGGCATCCTGCTGAGCCATGCTGCACCCGTGCCATGTGGCAGCTGCAGCACGGGTGCCAGGTGGGGGGCGATCCCCACTGCCCTGTGATCCAGAGGGGGTTCTACCACGAATGCCCAGAGGCCCCAATTACCACTCCTGTAGCCAGTGAATACAGGGCTTTTTTTTTTTTTTTTTTTTTT